ACACAATTCATTGTATTTACAAGGATGATGACATTTCTAATCCTTTGATAGATATCTTCTTGCACACATTACTCCATAACGTAGATTTAAAATTCACTTTAAACCAGAAGAGCATATCTGAAAAAGATTTGTGAAGGGTCAAAAGTTAACCAAGTCAAAGTGGGCATTTTCTCTTTTCACTGTTTGATTTTGGAGTCTATATCCAATTCCAAATACAATGGCTGATAATAAAGTTGGTTGTTTGTAAGAAGCATTGAAATTATATATTATAGTTGCTTAAATAAAGCTGCTAGCTCTCCATCATTAAAATCGTAGGATGAATAATATTGAGATATACCTACATGTAATATAATATAATATAATATTATAAGCATCTGAAAGAGAAATGAATTATTTCTTTTATTATATGCTTTTGGGGGTAACGAAGCACCTAACAATTACCATTGAGAAAGAAACTCCAATAACTGCGATGAAGCTAAGACGCCCACAGCATGGGTAAATTGGGGGCATCTTCATAATATGAATAAAACATTAAATATACCCTTTTAAATTTAGAGGTAATTTAATAAATTATATTTTGCTACACACAAAATCAAAAACAACATGGGCCTTTTTAACCCATGTTGAGCATTAAGGAAATTGGCTCCTTTATAATTATAAGAACGAGAGATAGCATTGACTCTGCCCTTTTTTTTTTTTTTTCCTTAATTCATTCATGGGCTAGTTGCATTAGCAATTAGCATATATGGTCGTTTTACCAAGCATATAAATTAAAAGAGTAGCATACTCAACCACACAAATGGTTAAAACTAATGTTTTTTTTTTTTTTTAATACCATTTCAACAATGTGTTCTTTTTATCTAAAACCTCGGCGGCATTTGTCTAGGAAATATACTGATTGTCGACATACAAAAACGAATATTCATGGTTGTTTAATGGCTGCTGTTTCCGCATCAAAATACATGCCCAATATATATTTTTCATACTAATATCAAACTTCTTACTATTACATTACAATATACATAGTATTTAATTTGATCATACCCAAACTCAAATTATTAACTATTAGATATTACATATAAAATATATACCTCAACATAATATATCATAGGTTACATATTCAATATAATACAACATATCTTTAATGTTGGAATGAAAACTGAAATATCCTCATTGGAAATATAGTTTTATAATTTAAACGGTTGTTTTTAGGGATAAACGATAATAGACATGCTTGGCCAATAAAACAGTTTGCTTTCTTGCTTAAAGGAGGGAGAGAGCCTGAATTAATGAAAGAATAACCATTCCCCTCTCACTTTACCTTAGTTCTTTTGGACCAACCAACCATCCATGATGATTTTTCTTTAAATCTTAATTCTACAGCTCTCATCCTCTTATTAGTACGTTTGGCATAACTTTAATAATAACCATATACGCTTTTTTCCCTTAAATTTTTAGAACGATTAAAAGTACTAAATTTTCTTTAACAAAGTAGGCGTGTCGTAGCCATTAAATTAGATTAGTGATTGGTTGTATTTATTATAGTTTGAAGAAGCACAAAAGAGGCGTGAACCAAGAGATATGGTTCCACGAACCAAAACAAAACAGTTCCCCAATCAAACTTTTTCAAATAGCAAAGGGCAGCCCTCATATTGGTAGGATTCCATGAACGAAGAAAGATAAAAGGAAAATATCTTCAAGGAAGAAGCCAAAGGAGTAATGAAAAGTTGAGCCCAAATCAAATAGTTTTAGAATAGAGAGAACGTCAAGCAGAAGTGGACAAACTAAAGAAAATTACGTCGAAACATCAAAAGAAAAGAGAGACACAGAAAAGTTGGGTTCAAAAGTCTCTCTCTCTGCTAAAAATTATTGTTGTGTAGAACAGGTTTTCAGGTTTGTGGGTATCGCAATCAAGTAGTAGCAACAAAAAGCTGCTTACAAAATTTTGCAACCCTTTATTAATTAGTATGGGAAGATATGCTACTGCTAAAATCCAGAGTTTCTTTTTGCCTTTTTGCCTTTATATGCTCTCTCACTGTTTGCCTAAAGAATGTGATCATAAAAAAGGGATAGAGGTTCACATGTGTGTTTCTAAGAGAAATGAATTGAATCCCCTCCCCACCACATTGGATTATGTCTTTGTCTAGCTCCTTGTGTGTAAAAAAGTTGCCTTTTTTAATTCCCTTTCATAAATTAAGGGAACTATGTATTATCCTTTTTTAATTTGGTAATCATGTAGAGTGGATAAGGATACTTTGGGGGTGGGTAGGACATATATAACAAAACATGGCTAATCATGACAAAGTAGGATTTCGAAATCAAACAATCCCAAATCCAGCAAATGGGTTTGAGTGGAAAACTTGGAAAACAACCCACTAAATTAATTAAGATATAAAAATACTAGTTTAGTCCCGTTCAACTTCTTTGATTCATTTTACTGCAATTGTACTTTTAAAAATGACTATTTTGGTCCATTAATCTTATTTTTAATCTAATTTTTCCTATATGAACACGACCCTAGGATCAATATATTTTTTCAAACTGTGACTATGATTTTATGTTAAAGAGTTTTCATTATGTTTAGAATTTGTGTTAAAATTTTTAAAATAGAAATCAAAATGCTCACTTTTTAAGTACAATAATTAAAATAAATCAAAATTGAAAGTGCAAAGACCAAAGTAAACCTTTTAAAATTACAGAAACCAAAATAAACTAAAGTTGAAAGTTCAAAGATCAAACTAATATTTTAACGGTTAATTAATTAACTAATTGACGTCAAGGATTACATTTTTTCTTATGTTAATTGCTTTCATCAACTTAATAATGGCTATGAAGAAATAATTGGATAGGGAGAACAAAATGGCCTTAATTAGTGCGTTGAAGTGCTTTTCTTAGTCATATTTAAACTCAATAATACACAATATCTGTCCCCTCGTGGGACTATCTTCTCCCTAGCCAAAAAGATATTCAATTAATTAAGATCAGTGCATTCTTCATCTTATTTTTAATTCGATAATATGGAACGTATAATACTTTAATCAATTGATGTGAAATAAAAAGTTATCGTTGGCCTCTCATTGGACATTGGAATTCGCCGCCCTAGCTGTCTAACGCAGTACCTACGAGACTCTTAAGGGAGAATGAAAATTGTTGAAAACAAACAAAAGAATAAATATCATTTCAGAATAATTATAAAACTACTCAATCACGTTCTCAGAATCATTCTCTTAAAAAAAAAAAAAAAATCTGATTCCAATTAATTCAGACAAATTAGACAAATTGTGGCACATACAAGATAGTTTAGTTTTCAATAAAATATGCAATGTTTTAAATGCTTTTCATTTGGCTGGGAATCTTCTTGTTTATGTAGAGTTAGATGCATCTCCTTTGAGTTTCCTCATTCAATATACCGTGAACTTAAATCTAGGTTATAAATGGTGATTGACATCCATTACATTTCTTAAAAGGTCCAAGGGTTCAATCTCTCACCATCGCATTGGTTGTATTAAAAAAAATAATTCATCAAATCTTTTCTAGATACCATAGAAAAAAAAATTACATTTTATAATTAAAAAATATTAAATTATAAATTTGAATCATTGAATTTTCAAAATCTAGTCTAACAAAAGTTTAAAGATGATGTGACAAACTAATTTAAAAAAGAATTAAGCATCTACGATGTAAGCGTGTCAGCTTTACTTTGATAGAGTTATATCAAGAATTGAAGACTTATTACAAACCTGTCAAACACAAAAGTTAAAAAAACGAAAAACCCCATGTAATATCTAAAGCCCACACACTGTGAAACGTAAAAATAGTAATAAACAGTAGCATGAGATGGAGGATTAATTCGTGAGAGAGGAGAATAAAGCATAGTATGGAAGGAGAGAGAAAAATAGCAGTGGGAAAGGCCAAAGGGGGGTATGTATGAATGTATGTAGAAAATGCCAAACAGCAGAGGATCAGAGCAGGTGGGATTAATTTGTTTTGAGGTGGAAATGGTTTGATATGTATCTAAGGCGCAGGATTTTTTGGCTACACCCGAAGTGGAAAGAACGATAAAGAATAAAACAGAGTGCAAAAGATAGTGTCAGAGCATGTGAGCTATGAATCTAAGCTGAGCTTAGGTAGGCCTCAGATTTTGCAAATACGTTACAATATGGCTAACTGGGAAAGAAGAGAGTACTCGACAAATTGAAAACAGGGCAACTGGCGAAGCCCGTGAATTTGCCTGCCCATATTGGCATGCCTGCCTCCAATGTACTGCTCAAAGCATGCCCTTACCAGTTACCCATTATCTTATTTACTGATAAATCTCTTCCTTATGTGCTCTCTTTGCTTGTCTTCTTCGGACAATATGGCTTCATTTACTGACTCATTTTCCTACATCAATGTATGATGACAACAACTACTTATGTCTTCCACTTTTTGTGCATCTTTCACTTCCCATTTTGCTCTTTGGACCCTTCCTTTTCCTATTTCCTAACTTAAATCAAACCTTAATCATTATATTTACCTCAAGCTTTTGGATTTGATTGTGATTTAACTTCAAGATTTTAATGTTAGTGCCAACTAGGGATGGCAAATAAACTAGGAAGGATGGTTTTAACACTTCTATTTTCTTTTTTATTATTTGAGACTCATTCTAAGAGGGGGCTTGTCTTGATTCTTGAACGAAGCACTTTGAGTGATGGGAGCACATCATTAAAAGCAACCCAGAAAATTACAAAAAGAAAAAGGGATATCTGAAATTATCGTAATGGAAAATAAATGGAGGTAAGCTAGCAATGTACTTGGCAGTTGGCAGACAACATTAGACCCGAGGACAAGCACTATGCATATGTGGTACTATTGATTATAACTGCTTTTTTCCCATCTGTTTAATAGACCAAAAATAAAGTTAAAGTTATATGAAGTATTTATGTACGAATGAATTATTAAATATTACGTAAGATTAGGAATTTTAGAGAGATGGGGTTCCTCTGTTTTCGACTTTGTATGCTATAAAAAGCGAGGTCCCATTAGAGGCCGTATCTCCTCACAAACTTATCTTAATTGGGGGAAACACAAGCTGAAGCCAGATACCCAGAAAGCGATGGTTTCTACCTTACAAAGGAAATTCGCCTCACGGAGGAAGCTGCGCCTTGTTCGACCTTTGGCCATTCATGAATCCCCTGTATTTCCTAAAACATTCTGTTTAATTTGGCGATGTGTTTTATTCTCTGTTGAGCCATAAAAATAACTGAGCCCTCTGTTTATGCAGGGGAGACAAAGCTGTGTCTTCTGGAATGCTGTTCTCTTCATTCATAAGCTCAAACTCAAGCTGGAGGCGATTGAGAGAGAGTATTCAAATCTATTGGCTGCGAAAAGAGAAATCTTGAACAACTCTGTGAAGTCTTTTCATTTCCCCAAGGTCCTCTGTTTCTCTCTGTCTTTAAAAAGTTGAATTCTTCCCAATTAATATGTATGTATATTTAGATGTGTTGTTTGTAATGGGATATGAGTGAGCAGGAGGTGGAGGTGGAGAAGATTGGAAAAGAATTTAGAGTGAGATTGAGATGCGAAAAGGGAGGGGACAGATTGGTTTCAGTTTTGGAGGCGTTTGACAAAATGGGTCTAAATGTTCTTGAAGCTAGAGTTTCGTGTACGGATTGTTTTTCCATGGAAGCCGTTGCTGTAGCTGAAGTTGAACAATCGCTTGATGTAAGAGACATAAGGGAAGCTATTAACGTAGCCATTGATGGGAAATTGTTAGCTGCAAATCAGATTCAGCAAGAAATTCCAGAGGAAAATGATGAAATTTAGTCACTTCTCACTTGCCTAGCCTATCAGTTGTTGAATAGAAATGTCTAAAATGATGAAATTTAGTCACTGCTCACGTGCCTAGCCTTTCAGTTCTTGAATAGAATGTTTCTTGGCATCCCAAATCTCTTGTATTTTCTTCTTCTTTTTTTTTTTTTGCCCCCAAGTTGGAAAAAGGAAACAAAGAGGTGGTTTTTGGCAGTTCTTAAGAATGAAACAAATTTTGGTTTTGTTTGGGGAGCAAGAGGTTAGTTCCTAACTTCCAAAATCCTTTCATTGTGGTCTGCAGGGATTTTTTTATTTAGGTAATATACTTTATGGACCTTTTTTCTTTTTGAAAGTTTAGAACCAAAATAGAACTTTAGAAGTTTAATAACCAAAATGGTACAAATATTAAAGCTTAAGGTCAAAATATTAAAGTTTTAAAGAAAAGTTAAAGAGAGAGTTAAAAAATTTTAAAGAGAAAAAACATTATAGAATGAGAGTAAAACTTTGAAGAAAAAATTAAGAGTTTTATAATCAAATTTTAGAGGAAAAAATAGTTAATAAAGAATGATTAAAAAGCTTAAAAAGCTCTATAAATAAAAATTTTAAAGATAAAAAGAGTTAAAAGAGATTTGGGAACCTTTTAGAGTGAGAAAAAAATAATAATATGAGAGCGAGTTTGCAAACCGAGAGGGAAGAACTTTATGGGAAATTTTGAAGAAATTCTATTTGGAAAAGATTAAAAGACTTTTTCAGATAGAAAAAAAGTGATAGAATGAGAGAAATTTCAAAGATAAAAAAGTTTTCGAGAGATCAGAAAAAATTTATTAAAATGAGAGAAACTTTGAAGATAAAAAAGGTTAAACGAAATTAAAAAATATTCTTGAGAGAGAGCATAAACTTTTACAGAGAAAAGAAAGTTATAGAATGAAAGAAAACTTTTGAAGAGAGAAAATAAGGGGTTAAGAGGGTAACAAAAGTTAACCAAGAAATAAAGGTTATGGAATGAAAGAAAAATATTGAAGAGGTTTACATAAATATTTTGANAAAAAAAAAAAGAAGCAAAAACTTCTAGAGAGAAAAAAATTAGATGTAGAATGAGAGCAAAATTTTGAAATAAACAAATTATTTAAAGAGATTCAGAAAAGATTTTGAGAGAGAAACGTGGAAAAGAGAGAACAAAAACTTTTTACAGAAAAAAGTTGTAGCGTGAAACAGAAAAATTTTGAATAAAAATGTTAAGAAATTCAAAAAAGATTTGACAGAAAATTTTCAACATAAAAAATTTGAAGATATTCCGAAAGAAATTTGAGAGAAGATATTGAAAGGCAAACTTTTAAGGAGTGAAAAACATTATAAAAATAAGTGAAGTTTCGGAGATAAAACGTTAAAACAAGATTAAAATAAAAGTTTTGAGAAAGAAAAAAGCTTGCAAGATGGAGGGCAAAAAACTATTTTTAGAGAGATTTTATAGATTGAAAGAGAAATTTTGAAAATAAAAAAGTTAAAATAGATTCACAAAAACATTCTGATGGAGAGAGGAAAAATCATTTAGAGTAAAAAAAAATTAGAGAAGAAAGCCCTTTTAGAGAGAGAATACTATTAATTGAGAGAAAAAGAAATTGAACGTTAAAAAATTTAAAGAGATTCAGAAAATTTCTGAAATAGAGAGGGACAAACTTTTAGAGAGAAAAAAAAAAGATGTAAAATGAGAGAGTTTTTTAAGATAAAAATTTAAAGATAATCACAAAAAAATTGAGAAAGGAAAAACGCTAAAGAGAGAGAGAAAAATGTCTAGATGGAAAAAAAAAACTCGTAGAATGAGAGAGAAAACTAGTTCAAAATGAGATGGACAAATAAGTTTTGAGAGCAGAAAAAAGGTTTGTAAGAAAAAGGGAAAAGCTTTTACAAAGAGATAGAATGAAAGAAACTTCTAAAAGAAAATAGTTAAAAGAGATTCAAAAAATGTTTTGACAAAGGAAAAAATTATTGAAGGAAAGAAAAAAATTTAAGAAAAAAGTTCAAAGTTTTTAAAAACAAAGTAGGGCGACAGAAAGTTAAGAACAGAGAAAATTCTTTTAGAGGGACAAAAAGTTGTGTTATTTAATGACAGAAAATTTTGAGCATACAAATTTTAAAGAGATTCAGAAAAAGTTTTGGCCAAGAAAAAATAGAGTGAAAAAATTATACAATGAAAGAAAATTTTGAAGAGAAAAAAAAAGTTAAAAGATGTTTACAAAAAAAAAAATTGAGAGAAAAAAGTTAGAAAGAAAGAAGAAAAATCTTTTAGAGAAAAAAATTAATATGTAGAATGAGAGAAAATTTTGGTTAAAGAGAATAACAAAAAATTTTTAAAGGAGTAAAAAGTTGTAGAATGAGAGAAAAGTTCTGAAGATGGAAAAGTTGAAGTCGTTTTGAGTGAGAAGAGAGTATAAGATACGATTTTTGCATAAATATAGTTACCAAAATAATTCAGACATAGAAAAAGTTATAGAATGAGAGCAATTTTGAGGATAAAAAGGTTAAAAGAGATTTAAAAAAACCAATTGACGGAGAAAAGGAGATTTGCAAACCTTTTACAGATAAAAATATTATGAAAGGAGAAAAATTTTAATGATAAAAAGCTAAAAGAGGTGAAAAGATAAATTTTGAGATAGAAGAAACTTTGTAAAATAGATAAAAAAAAAAAGAGAGAGGAAAACTCTTTTAGAGAGACAAAAATGTTATTAAATCAGGAATAAAATTTGGACAAATAATTAAAATAGATTCAAAAAACTTATTGGGAGAGAAAAAAGAAGAAAGAAAAATTAAAAGAGGTTCAATTTTGATACAGATAGCTATGAAGAAAACATTAGAGTGGGAAAGAATTAAAGAATAAGAGAAAATGGAACGAAAAAAAGGTAAAGATTTTAGACAAAAAAAAAAATTTGAGAGAGGAAAAATGTTGAAAAAGTGAGGAAAAATAGTTTAGAGGGAGAAAAGTTATATATAGAATGACTGAATGAGAGAAAAATTTGAACATAATTTTTAAAGAAAATCACGAAAGATTTTGAGAGAAAAAAACGCGGGAACAAAAGAACTTCTAGTCGAAAAAATTGTAGAATGACAGAAAAAAATTGAAGTTAAAAATGTTAAAGAGATTAACAAAAAAAATTGTGAGAGAAAAGAAGTTCAAAAAAGATTTGATCGACAAAACTTTTTGAGAAAGAAAAATATTATAGAATAAAAGAAATTTTGAAGAAAAAATGTTATTTGATATTAAAAAAAATAAGTTTTGAGAAAAAAAGTGTTACAAAGAGTTATACAAATTTTTTTAGAGACAAAATAAGTTTTGGGAAAACATTAAAAAAAAAACTTTTCGAAAAGGAAGAGAGAACAAATTAAAAGAGGATTCCTAAAAGTTTTTAGAGAAAGAAAAACATTATAAAATGAAATAAATTCTAAAAATAAAAAATTTAAAATGAGAGGTTGAGAGAGAAGAAAAACTGTTATAGAGGAAAAAGTTATAGAATGATCAGAGAAAAATATTGCATATAAAAAAGTTTAAAAAGGGATTTAAAAAACGTATTGAGAGAGAGAAAAAAACGGTGAATAATAGTAAAAAAAAGTCAAAGTAGTAGAATGGAAGAAAAATAATTGAAATTAAAAGAGATTTACATAAACATTTTGAGAGAGAAAAAAGTAAAAAAAAAATTAGAGTAAAATAACGTAGTTAAAGAGATTGAAAAAAATTCAGGGAGAAGAGATTAAATGGGGATTGGGAAAAACTTTTAGAAAGAGAAAATATTATAAAACTAGAGAAATTTTGAAGATAAAAAAAAAGTTTTGAGAAAGAAAAAAATTCCAAGAGAGGGGAAAACTTTTATTAGGTAAATGTTTTTAGAATAAAAGAAAAATTTTGAAGTTAAAAAAGTTAAAAAGAGTTTCAAAAAAATGTTTTGAGAGAAAAAAAAACGTATAAAATGAGAAAAATATTGAGGGAAAAAAAGCTAAACGTTTGTATAGGAGGAGAGAACAATTTTGACCATCAAAAATTTAGAGAGATCTATAAAAACTTTAGGGATAGAAAAAAGTTTTAAAATGAGAGAAAAGTATATAATGAGAGAAAAATTTTGAAGAAAAAACAAGTTACAGTTTAAAAAAAAAAATTGAGAGAATTTTAACACAGATAGGGAAAAAACTTTTAGAAATAAAATTTTAAAGAAAAATAAGTGAAGAATGTTTACCAAAAATTTTGAGAGAGAAAATGTTTAAAAGAGAGGAAAAAGCTTTTAGAGATAAAATAATTATACGTAGAACAAGAGAACTTTTAACATAAAAAATTAAATATACTAGTTAAAATTAAAGACGAAAAACTTATAGAATGAGATTGAAAAAAAAAATTAGGAGAGAAAAATGGTTAAATTGAAAGATGAAAAAATTCCTAGAGATAGAAAAAAGTTAATAGGAGATAAATTTTAAAGATAGATCTAAGAGGTTAAAAAAATAGAGAGAAAAAAATTATAAAAACAAAATTTGAAAGCTTTTAGGGGAGAAAAATATTATAAAATGACAGAAATTATGAAGATAAAAACGTTAATACAATTAAAAAAGTTTTGAGAAAGGAAAAAGTTTGCAAGAGAGAGGGAAAAACTCTTATTATGAAGAAAAAAATGTTTTTACTAAAATTTTGAAAGAGAAAAACATTTAAGAAAAAAATGACAAACTTTTTGAGATAGAAAATAGTTACAGAAGAAGAGATAAAAAAGTTAAAGGGTTGAGAGATAAGAAAGTTCGAAAATGAGAGAAACTTTTATAGAGGAAAAAGAAAAGTTATAGAATGAAATAAAAATGTTAAAAGAGATTTAAAAAAACGCTTTGAGATAGAAAAAAATTGTCAAAGATAGAGTAAAAAATTTTAGAGAGAAAACTGTTAATAGAATAAGGGGAAAAAACTGTGAAGAAAAAATAAGTTAAAATAGTTATTTAAAAACATTAGAAAAATTAAGTTAAAGAGAAAGATGAAAAACCTTTTAGATATAAAAGAAATTATAGAATGAGATAAATTTTGAAAATAACCTAGTTAAAGAGATTAATAATAAGGGAGAAAATAAATTAAATGGGGATTGGGAAAAAATTTTAGAGAGAGAACATTATAAAATGAGGAAAATTTTGAAGATAAAAAAAAGTTGTGAGAAAGAAAAAAGTTTGTAAGATAGAGGGGGAAACTTTTATAGTTACAAAAAGTTCAAAGAGATTCAAAATAA